TTACCTCTAGGGGGTGGACTAGGTTAACGCTAACCGCTTTGGCACTAAGGGTATTCATTGACCGAGCTGTTTTACTAGGAAAACTCACTAAAACCAGACTAAATGAGACTAAATCAAATAGGATGGTCGAAAAGAGGAATCCACTAAGACCAGCCGCCCCCGCTAAATCCACTGGAACCACAACCAAACGGGGCGCCTCTTCACCGAAATTCCAACTGCCCTTGACCCTGTATCCGTATGCGCGTATGACCATGCCGAATTCACTACGTACCTCCTTTTAGTGGTATCAACTCCGTGGGTCTAACGATAGAAGGAATGCTAAAATCAAGTGGCGGCCACGAGTCTTCCAGTTTCTAACCTTATCTAGTTAGGCACTTGTAACTAACAAGACTACCAATACCAGATTTAATTACTCCTTCCCGCCAAAAGTACCACTCCTTAGGGTACTCCCAGTAGGTACAGAGTTTCTACACTAGGACAGGTGTACGTACTTCCTACGTAGGTACTCCATACTCAGTAGGTAGATGTCCATACTCCTACTAAGAGGAGCACGCAGGCCGGGAAAATAATAATATTTATTATCTTATCGTTACCAACATTTTTTAAATCATTGTTTTATTTTATATTTTATAATATCATTAATTATTTACCAATTACAAGCACCATCTCTACCCATCCACCACACTGCTTCCTCCGCCTGGGATACTTACCAGTAGTAATAATGATAATTTAATATGTCTAATGAACACTACCACTACAAACTGCTAACTAGCTTCCATTACGGAGCACCTCCTCTTCCTATTCACCAAGTAGTCTACCAGACAACTCACTATCTGCCTACCTCCGCTGTACCAACCTGCCAATTACTCCTACTCCATACCTAGAGTACTGTCAATCATTTTGATTCTTTCTTCTTCTCTTTCCCTCCCCTCTCCTCTTCTTACTACATTCTCCCGCCATCCTCCTACTTACTCTGAAACTATTTTTCTCCTCGTTTCCTCAGATTAACTCCCCGCCGTTGTTGTTTTCGACATTGCCGCCAACGTATTTCACACCGTCCACCTTCCTTGTACCTCCCATCCACCCGTTTTCGGACTGCGACCGGGGCCCATTCCACAAGCGCTTCTTGAACGCATCAAAACTGGGAACAGATTGAAAGAGAAGGAGGAATCACTGAATTGACGGTCGACTCAGAGAACAACACATCTGAATTTTTTCTATCCCGAGTTTTGGGAAGCTCGACATCTTTCACGTACCCGATAACGCTCCCTGTCCATTTCTCCTGACTCGTTCCTGGGGTCACAACTCTCCTATTATTCAGCGTCTCTACCTTTGTAGCATTGGACTTTCTCTCAATTTTCAATCTGTTCATTATCAAGATTGCGGAAGGTCTTCGCTACTACTTTCAAAGAGCCGTTTGCTCACCTCCTTGGTCCCGACAAAACTACCTCGAGCGACGAACACAGATTTTATCTGAGTAAATCGCTGGAGGTAGTACCAAATATCGGTTCTCACACTGATCGTACTGGCGAAAGATTTTTGTTAGGCAGGAAAACTTGAACGGTTGAAAAGGTTATACCTTCACAGCCATTCTACGCGGATCATCAGTTTGCTTTTTCCTTGGGAAGCCACCGTCAACCCCCAAGGAACCGTGTAGAGTCAAATCCCCCGCCACCATTACCGAAGTACCATGGCATCTACGCCGGATGTACACGGATCCTCGCCTGTTCCAAGTCTACCACAACCCCATGATACCGGTCGCATACATATGTCCTCCCTCTCTTCCTCTTCTTCCATATCCGACGCAGAAAGTGAACGAAGGGGCCGTTCTGAACGCCCTCGAATGGCCAGTCGAAAGCCAAGTGCCTCAATTCTAGTGCCTCGCGATCATCCAGAAATCGAAATCGAAGAGGAAGAATTTCCGCCCGACGACGCTCGAGCCATGAGTCCGCGTCGCAATTCTGCTGATTTGGAGCGCTTGGGCAAGGAGGCAAGACAAACCTTACAGGAGTGAGTTTACCGATACACCACCAGGATGGTAATAGTACCGTGCTAATGTCTTGTTTTATAATCTAGACAAGCAAAAGCACTCCAATCCTCTCTCCAAGCTCTTGCAGAACGTATTGAGGCAGTGAAATCTGATCATGACAAACTCGAAAGCGAGAATAAATTCCTACAAGACTATATCGGCGGACTTACTCGCAACATGACCAAGACCGAGTTGACGAGATCGAGTACCAAAGTCAAGAGATCGCATAAATAACGCGTGCGCCAGTTTAAACCCCAAAGCCGACAAAATCAGAGGCCTCGGCGACCGGGCAATTTGATGTCGAGAAGATTCATGCCCGGGGCATGTTGAATTTTGGCTTACATCGACCTCTGTCCATCTACACTTCCTCCACACTTCGATCGATACTACACGGCATATTTACTAGCTGGATAACAGTTTGCGAACTCGATGAGTCACAGAAAGCCACTCTACCATTCCGACAGTATCACAATATCTACGCAAATGGGGTTCCAGCTGCTTCAGACCTGCAACATATATTATTGACACTTGGAACTTGACGACATTGTTCAATCTCCAATATCGGTCGCTTTATCGAAATTGTCTGAAGGTCCTTCAAGCGGCCTCGGTTCAGCGTCTCACCTACCATTACTCAAGACAACAAATCTAACAAACTATGACGTTTTCAAATCAAGCGGCGATCAAGCCCTCTGTACAACAACGCCCTTCTTCAAACAACAAATCAAAGACTGCAGGTGATAATGTCCATGTGATATGCCCAAAGGAGAGAGAGAAAGTGTGACATCATAGCATGCCATGTGTTGCTATGGAATTCGTTCCGCCGCCTTGAGTCGTGCATGATTTTCGTCTAATCTATCCTTGCGGCTGACCTTGAGACATACCTCACCTACACTTTGCTGCCTTGCGTTGGGTTCGGTTAACGACCCGTTCCTTTCTCGGGCAGCCTTAACTTGATCCTGTCGATATTTCCGCTTCTACTTTTCCCCCCCTTTGTCTCATTCTTTTTCTCTCGTTCAGTTACCACGGTGGCCTAGTGTATTTTTGTGGCATAGCACGCTCGGCGTTTGGTTGTGGGATCATTAACCTAGACTTGAATGACTTTTGGAGCCGCACTGGACGCATTTGATCTCATGGTCAGCAAAAATAGCGGGAAAGCATTTTTATGGAGCAGCCAATGAGGTTTTCATTTACTTTTCGCGTGTACATTTGTCCCGTCTAGGTCGGATGGCTGTGTTTGTTTGTTTGGCTCTGAAAGACATTTGCTTTACCATACCCAGGGGCGCACAGTTTGATATTAGTTAGTATGAATGAATTGAGTTCAATATCAAACTCCCATCTCCGGCTTGCCTTCACCACAAAAGGACTCAGGGAATCAATTAAGCTGGCATTCTTTTCCCTGGCAAGAGGCATACATTGGCACCAACCAGGCTTAAGTTCTCAGTGCCTGAACTCATACTTCATACTGGTGTACCGTGGTGATCGACGCAGTATATCCAGCCACCCACTCTAGTATCCTATTTTCCTACTCAGAACCAAAGTACGAAAATCCCAAAACGCCACATGCCACATATCAGACTCCCACATACTAGTCAGATCTAACCGCTATAGCCAAGATCCAGTGGCGCAGATCATAATGCATGCATCTTAAATAGCAGTATAGACTCTTGTACTGGTCGCCGTAGTAGTCACTAAATCATCTATCAGGAAGACAATATGCACTTGCAAAGTTGACCCACGATACACGCCCCTAGTACGGAGTACCTACTCTCGTCCTCGCCTACGGCGCAGAGACATTACAGCTGAAGCAAGGTAAATCAAGGCAAACGCCATCGACTTCGCCTCCTTGTAGGAATACCAAGCTGCACGAAAAAGAAACAAAGCCAAACGGAGAGAAGGAACAATGACATCATTTTCAAACACGCACATCCTATGGCAGGTGGGCATCGTCATATTCTGTATGTAACAGGGGTACTTCTCTAATACCCCCTGATGAACTTATGGATCCATGATGATCTATCACAACAGTAGGCGCATGACAGATGTGGCAAATGTGGCTAAGCATGGATATCTACAGAAATAGCTCTCTTCGTAGTATGTACAGGGGCAGGCTGAGATTAAGGATGGCCCGGGGCACGCCGCATACGTCATGGTTTCAGGGTATGAGGCTGAGGCTGAGTCGTGCGACATTGGAAGCCTTCATGAGGGTTCAGGTTGATTGCTCTCTTGATTGAGCTCATCAAGTTGGATCATGGGACAGTAGTCAAGTGACGTGTCTGTTGTATCCTGCGTCCAAATTGTCGCGATGCATACACACTGTTGACTAAAGAGTAGCTAATATGGAGTCAATTTCAGCTTCAGGAATAAATTTCATCTTTCTGATAGCCACTGCGCCTGGGTTTAGATCTAAATTCGAGCTAAGGCGAAGAATCAAACGCCGTGCGCGGCACAAAATACGTAGGTAGGGGAAACCAAGACAGGATCCGTGAGGACAAGTCAGGACCTTCGGGGGTGTAAATATTGGGGGGGACTTGGTGGAGAGCGCGATTCTGTAAGACAGAAAGGTATTCTTTGGGTAGTTGAGGTGATAAGCAAAATTGCAAACAGGAAAATGAACAAAATGGGTAAACAAGATGAAGGACATGGGAACCACGGATAGAGAGAACAAGTGCGTCAAACCAGATGCCAGAGAAAACTCTGAAGCAGCACGAGATGACTGTAGAAGCGAAAAGAGAAAAGGGTCCAAAGATCATTATCACGCAATCGAATCTTCATTCCTCTGGGCCAAAATCCTCAAAGAGGGCCCCAGCCTAGAGGCCCACTAGTGACGCGAATGGGACTATGCATCTTATCCCCGTTCCTTCTCTTGCGCTTCAGTTCTACTATGCGCTAACAAGCAAGACCCTCAGCCTTGTTAGCTCCATCCGCGGTCGGACGCGAAGTCATCCATCTTTCTTTTTTTCTTTTTCCTTGTTTATTCAGCGGGCTTCTCGCCCTCAGTGGCGGGGGCCTCCTCCTTCTTCTCGGCAGGAGTGTTCGACTCAGCAGCTGGCTCAGCCTCAGACGAGGTCCAGAGAGTCTGAGTGCGTTAGCACATACTCCTTGAGAAAATCGTCCAAAGGAAAGGTATCTTACCAGGTTGTCTCTGAGAAGCTGCATGATGAGAGTGGAGTCCTTGTAGCTCTCTTCGCTCAGGGTGTCGAGCTCTGTAGCGTGTCAGTCTTCGTGCAACTTCAATGTACCTTATCGAGGACACTGATTTGACATACCAGCAATGGCATCGTCGAAAGCGAGCTTGGCAAGGTGGCAAGCCTGGTCGGGAGAGTTGAGAATTTCGTAGTAGAAGACGGAGAAGTTAAGAGCCAATCCAAGGCGGATGGGGTGGGTGGGAGCAAGGTCGGTCTGAGCGACTTCGGTAGCGTTCTTGTAAGCCTCGAGAGAGGCATCGGCGGCAGCCTTGCGGCGATCGCCAACAGCGAACTCGGCAAGGTAACGGTGGTAGTCACCCTTCCTGTTGGTTTAAAAAGATAAAAAATCAGTACAATCCCCCCCTTTCTTCGTATTCTGGCAGATGATAAAGAAGACTTACATCTTATGGTAGAAGACCTTGGACTCGCCGCTCGCAGCAGAGGGGATCAGGTGCTTGTCCAGAACCTCCAGGATGTCATCGCAGATCTTGGCAAGCTCGGACTCGATCTTCTGACGGTACTCCTTGATCAAAGCGACCTGAGACTCGTTGCCCTTTGATTCTTCCTTCTGCTCGATCGAGGTGACGATTCTCCACGACGCACGTCTGGCACCAATGACGTTCTTGTAGGCAACAGAGAGAAGATTCCGCTCCTCGACGGTGAGCTCTACATCGGAGGAGGCGACAACCTTCATGTTCTCGACCATCTCTGAAGCGAAGCTGTTAGTTTGAGGACCTCAATAAATTGGGTGCTACTTTAGAGATAACAAACCTTCGTAGCGCTCAGCCTGCTCGGCGAGCTTGGCCAGGTAAACAGCATCTTCGTGACCCATTGTGGAGGAGGTTCTGATCAGCACCGACGGTTAGCGATAATCTATCAATATAAACAAATTTACAAATTTAAGGTCAAAAGAGTAATCTCGTCTGGTTGTCAGGGATGATCCGAGTAGCCGTGGGATGCTTGATCGTGTGGAAAGGGCGAGGGGCAGTATGATGGCAGTCACAGGACCGCAAGTGAGGCTGCAAAAACACGTTGGTGATTCGACGGGCGCGGAAGTACAAAACCCCTCCAAACGCTCTCCCATTTTGAGGCTCCCATTCGATACAATCTGGGCGAAAAAAATTGTGGTTTGCAGCCGATCCTTTCAAAATATGGAATCATGGCAGCTGGAAGCAGTCATGAAATAATGTTGACATTCTATGCTGCACTAGCGCTCCCTCCCATCAGGAGAACCGATCATATGCTTCGCTGGAAGGTCCCATTCCGACGAACATGGGAGGGGCGCAAAGCGGTCGTCAAAACAAGATCTGATCCTGCGATTCCACACTTTGGCGATTGAATGGCCACAAAATCGATCCCTGTACTTCCAAACGAGATTTTTGGGCGGCTTGCAATAGTAATAATAAGGTGCAATGTGGTGGCAGTGATGAGGGTTGATCATCATTTGGGAAACAGTGGCTCAGGGAGAAAGGAGGGCGAAGATGCAGCAGAAAACAGAGAATCGAACTCACCTAATTAAACGGTTTGAAAGGAGATTTTTGAAATCTGAGAAGTAGAAAAATCGAGGGGAGGAGAGTGAGGTGGTTGGAAGTTTTGGAGGTAGCTATTTGGAGTTGGAAATAGAAGATGGGGGAAGGAAAGTTGAAGAGGGAGGGGAAAAGAGAGAGGGAGAGACAGGGAGAAGGGGGGGGAGAGGGGACTAGCGGTGGTGGTGGTGGTGGTAATAGTAGATAGTGGTAGGTAAAGCAGGAGGTGCTGGCGCTGGTGCTGGCGCTGGTGCTGGCGCTGGTGCTGGCTCTGGTACTACTACTCCAGTTACTATTTGGCAGTAGTCGTAGTAATAATAATTAGCATGAAGCCCGGCTGGTTGCTGTCTGGCTGAGAGAAGCACAACAGAATCCAAGAGAACAATGCAGTAATCTCTCTCTCCTCTCAACAACGCGTGATTTGCTGCTTGTTCTTACTATCCCTAGAAAGGGAGGGATTGTTCGACGCAGATAAAAATTCAAGATTCTCTTTGGAGGTCGCTTGTCGTCTTGGTGTTCTTACAGCCCTCTTTTAGGATTCTTATAATAATCCCATTCTTCACTATAAAACATCTTGTTCTCCTGTCTCCTTTTCCATCAAAGCTGCCTGTCTCCCTCCCTCCTCCGGACCATCTCTTGGTCGTTTGTGTGGTTCGGTGGGCCATCTATCGTCATCCCTATTTCACATCCGCCAATCGTCCCGCGTATATGAGAGATAGGATCCTCCTTTCGTCCTCCAAGGACTTGAATTCTTTATTAACATTATCTATCTAAACTATTGATTGATTGAAGATCTTCTGCAAAATACGTGACATCTCACTAAAGACAATCCATCGATATCATAATCCGTTATATTAGATTTTACGGTGCGAATTTGTACTCGAAGGAACCGGGTCTTAACTACCTTACTCCAGACTCTTCCTGCCTCCTGGGCACTGTTCCATGGTTATCAAGGCCGTGCACCCGCAAATAAAGCGAGTAGTTCTCTTGGGTTGATACTGGGTAGGAATACAATAATAGTACATTGTGAGGTCCATTAGGAAGAGATGCACATTGAAGTTGCGCTGTTGAGTGTCAGCTAATGATCCCTCGCGATCCCTATCGCGTTATTTTCCCCTGGCAGAAGGAGGCTTGAATGTGAATAGTTCATTTTTGGCCTTCATAAGAATCTAGAAGCGCTCAACGAAAAAATGGCTTTTTGGTGTTCACCTGACCTCGCCAGAAACAGTTCAAGTAAACAGGTCCCCCTATAGCACACTAGTACTGACTGGGCAAGCAAGCATTTTGCGCTGACTCATACAATATCACATGATCCGCTGGGCTCGTTAATGTCGTCATAGGTGATCTCCGGCCGACGGCATTATTCCCAGTCCAGGTCCGAGACTTGAATGGCTGACTACAATAGTTTGAAAGGGAGAGCCGGAGAGCTGATTGACAGGCATTGCTGGCGAGCTAACCCGACTGAGCTGCGAGGTTACTTACAAGAACTTACGACACCCCAAGCCACCACCACTGCCATCACCAACCACTCATAAAGAGCCATCTTTCCTCATCATATTCTCCGTCACACACCTTCCCATAGTCATTGTCATTTGGTCACCTTTCCTATCCTCTTTTCTTCCATTCCACTGTCATATAACAACATCCATCCCAACATGCTCCGCCTATCTGTCCGTCCCCTCACAACCGCCAACCGCGCTCTCACCCGCTCCTTCTCTGCTCTTGCTCCCAGAATGGGTGAAGGCGATACCGGTGCTCCTCGCGCTGGCGGTGTTCAGAGCGGGTATGTCACTTCCCCTATTTCTCATCCTTCGTCATCTTGGACTGCGCTGGCGCTGTCGCCGTCACCTAAACGGATGACATCACTTATTCCCGACCGGAAGCTGTTGAGAAAGGGCTAACTGGTCGATTCCTCCCAGGGATTCCTTCACACGCCGGGAAGCTGCACAGGAAAGCTTGTACATCCATGAGAAGGAGAAGGAAAAGTATGTTTTCTATCTTGATCTTTGATGCCGGACTTCCGGCAAGGGTTGATGAAGAGGATACTAAAATGTCTGGTTGCCAGGCTCGCAGCTCTCAAGAGAAAGCTCCAGGAGCAACAAGAGCATCTCGATGAGCTTGGTAGGCATATGTACGTCGCTCTGAATCATTTTTGTTCTCCTCTATTCCCATATCAAGTGCCAATTGTCTAACCTATGTTCTATCTATGTAGTGATGAGCTCACCCGGAACCAGGGCGGCGAAAAGAACTAAGTTCGGACACCATCTACCATATCCGCACGACTTCAAATATCCAGAGATTTACCCAACAGTGTAAACCGCTCCTGACGTTGCCTTTCACACTGTTATGAATGACCATATCCACTCTTAGCATGTAGTTCGTCCGACTGGTGTCTGGCCGCAAATCACAAGAAGTATCACTATTGAGAAATATCACTATCGGATAACCATCAAAGCCTAGCATAAAAGTATTATCTGTCCAGTCCCTGAAATAGCCTAATCCTACGGAACGAGGTCCAATCGCAAGCAGTAATCGTGAGCTTGGTGATGAACTAGCTCAAATCATCTCAAAACCTTTATGACTAGCATTGAAATTACAATCGCCATACCGATCCATCGTCTCCATTTCCCCTCGCTCTGGTAATCGCAAAACATGAATAAGCAGAATCAATCATCGCCGTCCCATGTAGGAGCGATAGAAGTCATCTGCCGCACTTCCGCCGCCCATCCCAGAGCTGCTGAATCCATGACCAAACCGGGATGACAATGTATGTCCAGACTTTTGCGCGGCGCTGACCTTTGCTTGGAGCTCGGATGTGCCCTGGTCGATGAGCTGCAGTTGAGAAAGATGCGAGTTGAGGATGCGCACGATTTGAGAAATCTAGGGAGGTTCGTTAGCACAATCGACACAGACTGAAATGATAACCGTCTGAGAACAATTATAAATGTACATACGGGTTCATCGGCCTTGTTGGTCTTGCTTAGAGTAGCCGAAGCACCATTGACTTCTTCAATCATGCTCGTCAAATCCTTGCCCATTTCGTCCAACTGCTCGGACAGTCTTTCGGCCAGTTTGTAGCTATTGCCATAATTAGCAGCTGCCATATGAATCGGTACCCAAGGAGCACCATCACATACGTTCTTTCACGTTCCTGATCCGGCCCTTGGAGGGCTTCGCCAGGTCCCACTTGTTTCGACATCATCTCATCCACCTCACGCTCATACCGATCTAACCACGAGCTAAGCTCTTCTTGCTGCCCTTCAACAGATGCGAGCTGGCGCTCAATCTCCTGCGTGGCCCGATCGGCGTCGACTGTACTGCCATATAGTTTCTGGACCTTTGCAGTATTCTCCACCAACATACGGTCCCATTCCGCAACCTTCTCGGCCTGCTCTCGGAATTCCTTCTGGTACTTGGTCAAATCGGTAGCCCACCTCGTAATGATCTCATCCATGGTCTTGTTCTTCAGGCGAGACTGCGCCGGAGGTGTTGGGCCAACCGTCGATGCACCAAGAGCAGTACCTCCGGCCGCTGTGGCCGTCCCGGCAGCGGTTGCAGTAGTGGTGGTGGTTGCCGATGTTGCCGGCCCGGAAGTCGCCGTGAGCGATGGCTTGGCACCACCAGTGGTTGCAGTGGCGCCCGCAGCAGTGCTCGGAGCCTGTGTAGAGGGCGTGGTCTCAGCAGGTTTACCGAACAGTCCGCCGGTTGCCGCTGCGGGTTGAGAAGCCGGAGCGGTGGTGGTTGTTGCCGCACCTGATTCCGCAGGCTTGGACGCACCTAGTCCAGCAAACAGACCACCTCCGGCCGGAGCAGCCGCTGGTGTAGCTGATGGGGTTGCGGACGTAGTACCGCCAAGACTGGGGAATAGTGACTTTTGCGGAGTGTCGGATGATGTGGTCAAGGCTGTAGAGGGTTGGCTGGTCGTGGCTGTTGTAGCTGTACCGAGAGACGGGAAAGCAGGCTTCGTCCCCGAATCGGCGCCAGAGGATGGCATCTTGAAGAGTGACGAGCCTTGAGCTTGCCCGGCGGGTGCTGCCGGGGCAGCTCCAAAGAGGGGTTTCGCAGCACCGTCAGCAGTAGTTGTTGGGGTTGTTGATTCCGCAGGCTTGTCCTTGGCGGCATTGCCGAACAAACCACCGCCACTGGGCGCCGACGGAGTTGTTCCAAACAGTGGTTTTTGCTGAGCGTTCGATCCAAAGAGACCACCTCCGGTAGATTGCGACTGTTGAGCGCCCCCAAAAAGTGTAGGCGTCCCGCCCGTCGCGGGCGCCGTCGTGGCTGTGGGAGATGCTGTCGATGAGGAAGTAGTAGTTGCGTTCAGCCCACCGAAAAGACCGCCTGGTTTCTGAGCTGCCTGTCCGAAAAGCGACTGTCCCTGCCCGGCCGCGCTTCCCTGTGGCGGAGGGCCAGCAGGTGTGGTAGAAGTGTTGCCGAAGAGCGAGCCTCCGGATGGCGCAGGAGTCGCTGCGGCGCCTCCGAATATATTCCCAACAGGCTTTGCGGCGTTCCCAAAGAGAGCATTGCCGCCAGTTTGCCCAGAAGCGGGAGTCTCTCCTGGTTTGGGAGTCTGCGATCCCCCGCCAAACAAGGACGGTGACTGAGGCGTGCTACCAGGCTTAGTTTGAGTTCCAAAACTGAATGCAGGCGTACTTCCGGTAGGTGTGCCGCTGCTCGCAGCACCGGTACCACCACCAAACAGGGTATTGCCTGATCCCCCCGCCGCAGGTGCCGATCCGAATATTGAAGGTGTAGAAGTGCCGCTAGAGGAAGCTCCTACATTGCCAAAGAGACCGCCTGCGGAGGTCGTGCTGGGGTTATTCTGGTTGGAACCAAAAGCGTTGCCAGCAGTTCCAAATAGACCTCCACTTGAAGCGCCGCTGGAGGCCGGCGCACCGAAAGAAAATGTGTTGGACATGACGCGAAACGTTCGCCGTGGGGAATTGTCAGGGCTGCCCTGGTGACCGTCAGTAAGGACGCAAAGAAAAACAGCAGGTCATGATGGAGGGTGCTAGGGAAAAATTAAAAAGAGAGGAACATACTGCGCCCGAAGAAAATAAGACCTGTCAAGGCAGAATTTGCGAATGTGGTGACTATCGTTATTGAAGAAGCTTTCCTCAATTGCATAAAAGTAATAGCAATGGCAAGCAACGAGGAGAAGCTTGATGCTGTTAACTGGAGTACCAGATGCTTTCTTTGGGGAGGGAAACGCGCGCTTCTACCCTAGTATTATTGGCGGCTGGCGCCTAGTCAACTTCAGGGTTGATACCTCAGGCCAGCAGGCATGTACTTTTTGGTCTGCCTAAGGCACATGGTCGAGACTCCCATAGAACCTGGTCATTGACAACAACTACATCTTGATGACAACGTCACCCAGAGCAAGGCATCGCTTTCTCACCTATATATTCATTAATCCCTTCCTTCAGACATACTTCTTGCCTCTACAGACCGGTTCTATATGAAATACTGCCGAAAAAATTAAGTTATCTTAAATGTCGGAGCGGCTTTCCCGTCCGTCCAGTCCATATCTGGAGCCCCCGAGGAGGAGTGTTGAGTTGGAAGACTCGGGGGCTCAAGGTTCAGGTAAGGGCTTTACCAACTCTCTCGTGCTTTTGCGGAACAATTTGAATTTACATGATCAATGTGGTTTCATCAGCAGTTCCCAACAGTGACGATGAACATTTTTCAGACGCCAGCGAAGGCCACGAGCGCTCTCATTCCCGCCCACAGTCCGGTCGCACATCCCCTATCCCGTTGACTCGAGTTGAGAGAGTGGACGATAGTCCCGCACACGGTGAAATTCCCGGTACAACTGCATATGAAAAAAGGGGACAAGACGCTGTCCCCGATGAAATTGAAATCATCCCAACGGGGTCACGTAGCAGGAGCTCGTCCACTGTGGGGTCGCAGAAGCGCCCATTGACTCCGGGAGGGTCGCCCATCCCTCGAACAATTGTTGAAAAGGTTGATCTAAATCAGCCAAGCCATGGGGACGTCCCTGGAACGCTTGCATATGAGAAGCGTAGAGCGGATGCGGTACCAGACCTTGTCATCAAAGTGCCAGAACAGATATCGGATATCGATTCACCAGCGGATGGCGCCGAATCAAACGAGCCTGAATCCGTCACCGGCACGCAGGTCCCTGCAACAGTCGTCTCACAAGTGGATTCAACGGCAATTGACGCTTCCAGCCCACACGCTCATCGGAGGCGCCCAAGTGATGCCAATCCAGATGTGATAGAGAAGATTCCAGATGCACCAGGTATGCTTCGAATCATCTTCCCATCACAGAGAGTCTCGGGGGACCATTGACCAATTCAGATCTACCCGATTCGTTATCATCAAATAGCTCCGCACATCAAGATCACACCTCACGAAGAGGCTCATTAACGAGCGAAAATGTCAATCGTGACTCAGGTGATGTAGATGCCGATTTCGACTATGGGGGCAACGACGAACCCGAAAATCCTGAGGATCAAGCAGCTGCGGACGACTTTGACGACTTTGCAGAAGAGCAAGATTTGGCAGATGATGATTTTGGTGACTTTGACGATGGCTTTCAAGAACCGGATGGAGAGACTGCTGCGCCCGAACCGATTGAGTCTCAGCAGCCTCTCCCACATCCTCTAGCTGTGAGTAGTCCTCTACGAAAACTTGTCAGAAATGGCTGCAGTATCAATCGAGCCGTTTTTGCGCATATATATGCTAACGTCAATTCGGATTCGCAGCCTCCCATAATAGAATTCGACCCCTTCCAGTCTTTCCCTGATCTCCACGCCGCCTTGGATCAAACCCTCGACAAACTCTATCCCGCTTCCAAAAATGTTTCATCGCTTCCTCCTCTAGAGCCAATCCAAGATGTCTCCTGTATCTTCAGTACTGAGCGATCCCTGTCACTTTGGTCTCAGCTCGTCGCGCCGCCACCATTGCAGCCGCAGAACTGGGTCAAATCTCGGATTCGTCGTCTTTTCCTGGTTTCTTTGGGCGTTCCCGTTGACCTGGATGAGATACTACCGGCTTCGAAGCAAAAGAAGCTTGTGCTTCCATCTATCAATCCGAGCGGCTCAGACACTAGTGGATCTGCCGTTCACTCACGCTCTCATAGTCAGGCCAGGAAAAGCGGCTCACAAGACGGCGTTGACAGCCCAACAACGTCTGGTCCAGCAGCTCGGCATCGAACATCTCGTCGCCGTGACCGGTCTCCGCCACCTGAGCTGGATTTGTCGGCGGTGCGGCGACTGTGTGCCACCACCGATGCAGCATTGGACGGGCTGACCGACGCGGAGTTGAGAGGGCATGTTAAGGAACTGGAGCAAGTCACGCTTCGGGCCAGTTCTGTCCTTGAATACTGGCTGAAGCGCCGAGATGGACTAGTCAGTGAGAGGGAGGCATTTGAAGGCGTGATAGAGAACCTTGTCAATCATGCAAGACGTGTGAGGAAGTGAAGAAGTGAAGAACTACAGGTAATGTCATATAATATGGGTTTCTTTCTATCTTGTCTCTTTGGATACTATCTCTCGGTCGGCTCATGGGAGAAAGCGCTTGATACCAATCTTATTCTGTTCAACGCGAGGTCGGAGCCTCGCCACGCCATATCCATGGAAGACTGACTTCCTCATGCATGTTGGGTACATCTCCGCCCAAGTTCGGGCGACGATGGCTTTCTTTTAGTCGTCGGATAGACATCGTCGAATTAAAGTGTATGATAGCATTAGTTAATGGTGTTATCAATGGATTTACCCTGCATTAAGCCAGATGCATTCGCCCATGCCTTGGAAATCTCCGCATCTGCCAACCTCTGATCGGCTGGACTTTCCTTCTATCTACGACCCCTGAATGTAACCCCATTTAAATACGCTTCATTTCTCCCAATTCATGCGTTCAACGCTCTGTGATTATCGTCAAAATGGCATCCATGCCATTGCCTCGTCACTCGAAGGAAATTACCAGCATTCGCCTCACTGACTCAGAAATATGCAGCCGGCAAATAAATTGTCATAATCTTCAGCGTGCCATCGAAGCTCTTCACCAGGATGGTGTTGTTGTCGTGGAAAACGCAATTTCTCCTTTCTACTTGGAGGAGCTCGACACTCTCATGACTCCTGACGCTCAGACACTCTACGAGAAAAGATCTACGCACCGGAACTTTGGGCCCGAAACGGGGAACATCCAGCAAGAAGTTCCCGTACAGAAGGCCATTGACCGTTTTCGCGAGCAGATACCCGATGCCGAGGATGGCGAACATAAGGCGCAGAATCCCTTATCGATGGTCATCGCAAACCCCTTCGCCACCGCTATCATCGAGTGCATGCTAGGCCCCAAGCCACAGCTTCGATTCCTCAGTGCAAACACGGCCTTCAGGACCAAACAGGCAGGTCGTCAGCCGCCGCATATCGACGTTGCGTTTGACTTTCCCCGCGTTCCGTTCGGCTTCTGCGTGAATGTAAATCTAGTTGAAACGACAGCTACGAACGGCGCGACTGAGCTCTGGCCTGGAACGCACACTGGCACTGATGTGTCGGTGCTGATGCCTGATAATAGTGGAGTGATTCGGAAGGAGCTGGTGGAGGCTCGACGCAAGCTCTGTCCGCCGGTGCAGCCTGTATTACCCAAGGGATCCATAATCATTCGAGATTTTAGATTGTGGCATGCTGGGATGCCGAACCGGACGGATGAGCCGCGGGTTATGCTTGTCACTGTGTTGTTTGCACGCTGGTATAGGAGTGAGCTGAAGATGAGACTCCCGGAAAGTTGTAGAGGTGAGATAGAGTGGGGAGATTTAGAACCATTTGTGGACTGGATGGGAGAGGGTTATGATTATTTGCAAGGTTCTCATGATCATGATTTTGTTCTCCTGCCATGAAGACAACAGAGCAATGACTTGAGTTGTGAAGATATAGTTCTTTTGTGGGGCACTGGGAGACAGTAGGACTGTAGAAATCGAGCCAATGCATATGATAAAACAGTATTGAAGTCAACACAATGTCCCTGAAATTTTCATCTGTATCGTTAGAACATGGCTATCTAGTATCTAGTCTATTTGTTGCTGTCTTTCCCAAGATATCGAATCTTGCTATGACATTGAAAGACCCACTGTTGCCAATCAAACGGCGAAACATCGGCCCGCAAAGATTTTCTCCAAAGCATCCCAGATGCTCAACTTTACATGTACAGTTTCAACGCCTTAACCTCGTCTTTAATTCTGTCCGATCAAAATACTTGCCTGAATCCTGAAAAATCGGTCGTCTGCACCAAATCATCAACCACAATGGGTATCGCCAAGAAGACTCGCAAGTTCGCGCAGGCAAGTCCACAGAGCGACACCCTAGACTCGACACCTTACTAACTCAAGCAACTTAATAACAGGTCAAACGCGCCATCAGCCAGCGAGACAACCGCGTCAAGCAGCCCTTGAACGGCAAGAAAGAAGAGAAGAAGCCTCAAGGCGAAGAACTTACCCGGCACATCCCCGTCGCTCCATCAAACATGTTCTTCGCCGCCAACACCGCCTTGGGTCCTCCCTACACCGTGCTCGTGGATACCAACTTTGTTTCACACACGATCCGCGCGAAACTGGACATGCTGCCCGCTATGATGGATCTGTAAGACGATTGCAATTGATTTTTCAGCTGACGAACGAATCTGACATCTGTGTGCCTAGGCTGTATGCCAAGTGCATCCCGACCTTCACAGACTGCACCATTGCCGAATTGGAGAAGCTGGGACCGAAGTTTCGGCTGGCGCTGAGGGTCGCAAAGGATCCGAGATGGAATAGACTGCATTGTGATCACGCTGGTACCTATGCTGATGACTGCATTGTGGACAGGGTAAGGCTGCTTTCTCCCTTCTGAGTGTCATGGCTTGCAAGCCTTTTGCTAATTTTCGATTCGTCCTGATAGGTCATGAAGCACAGAATCTACACCGTCGCTACGAACGATAAGGACCTTGTGCGGCGCATCCGCAAGATACCCGGTGTGCCAATCATGAAGGTTGCCAGAGGCAAATATGTCATTGAGCGGCTACCTGATAGTTTCGACTGAACGGCTCGAAAGTTCTTGCGAAACTTTCCTGTCGCCGGTGAAATGCCGCGCACCAGTGAATTTATTATCATCTTTTGCACGTCATTGCGCTGTGTCTTGAGCTTCAAGGCGGCTATCTATCATGAGAGGTTGCTACAGTCCCTTCCGAGGCAGTTCGGACATTCTCAGCCGGACTGGGAGGAAATAACAGAGATGCATTACTCGGTTCACGAGGGTTGGATCAAGTGTTGCTTCTATGCGTGTCGCTGGCCACAGCTCGATCCCAACGACCTGCCTGCAGCCAGCAGGGCCTGGCTCCCCATCAAGGTGAATGCCTTGATGCACGCAATCTCTGGGCGGATGTGGGACGGCGACAGGGGCACTGTGGCGCACTTTTCATTTCTGGCACTATTATACCCATCGCAGCGGTTGTCTTATACTTGTCACCTTATGACAAATTATATCCATATCTCTGGTTTCTCATACTGAAACTTTCTCCTGTGCTTAATGGAATCAGATTCCGCTCCCAGATTCCGCTCCCAGTTTCCAAAGGCAGTTGTCAAGACTACTTGGTTCCAGACGCCTTCAAAGGCAAAGTGTATCAGTGCAGTGATAAAAAATATATTCAATTTCTGCGCAAGAACATGGAATTGGGGTATCTTGTGCTGTAAACCAAATCAAAAACACCGATCAAAACGCACTACCGTGCAGATGGTATGCTGAAATCAAAAAGTCATCAACTCCGTCGTAGAGTCAGTGGCCCTATCAAGTCACCTTACTAATCAAGTTCGATGACCAGAGATGCTGAGGATTCGCGAGAAGCTAGCGATTCTCGACCAGCGCCTTCTGTCTTCAGCCTCTGAGTTGCCAGAGGTGAAACAACGCCCTCACGTTTCCGTTTCAATGAGCCGCCTTCCTGTGCCCATGGAAGCTCCATTTCAGATGAAGAACCTTCCCCATCACTCTTGAGCTCCCAAGATCCGTCCGCCTTGATCTTGATTGCTCTAGCTCCCCCCAGATGACCCGTGCGTACAAGATCGGCACGGACTTCACTAAGGAAACCATCGATGATCAAATATTGAGGACGAGCGTCTGCGCCACATATTGGGCATTTCCAATTCTCCTTCAAGACAGCTTTACCCGGCTTGGAGGCCCTGGTCAAGATATATGTCTCGAGATCAAAGCATTCCACGTGCTCGCAATTAATTCCGCGAGCAGGAATGTTGAATATTCGAGCCATAAACGGGTCCACTAGATTGACAGTGAGGTAGTCACTGATAATACTTAATTCATCGTCGGTAGTGCTGGAGGAAAGGCGTCGACGAATCCGCTCCCGAGACAGGGGTGCGGGTAGGGTCTGAGCGAGCTTCTTCACTTGAGTGAAACTGAGGGTATCCATGACTTCCACCGCCAACGCATATACTATGTCTCTGCTTTCGGCAGCGCTGCGGATGAAATGCAAGGAGATAGCATTCAAGCCTTCTTTTAGATGACCACTGATGTCCAGAGGAATATCTTTGCCGTTGTGAAATTTGCGGCGAACGTAGAGTTCTACACCGTTCACAAAGATGTAAATAACACTGGGCCATACAGTTTCTGTGAGACACCAAGTATGCTGGCTCACCTCCTTCGCCGACGGCGAGATGCGAATACACCGCACACGATAGATCTGACTACCATCAACCAGGGATCGGACTAGACGTTGACCAGTGTCGGGAGGCACGATTCGAGGAAGCCGGTCAAAGTCTGCTCGGGAAAGAGGAAACTGCCATTCAAAAGCAGACTCCGTCTGCCCCAAGGGAGTCGGCGGTACCACGAACGATTTCAAGTAATGGAACAGATTCGTCTCCTTGTCGGCCGTTTCTTCCCCTGCTCCCGAAGGAGCCCATTTGATAATGGGATCGCGGAGATATGCCTGATGTAGGGCATTGCGGAGAGGGTGCGGCCGTGTTGTGGTAGATGGTAGGGGCCCCGGTGGAGGAAGGAGCGGTTGTGGTATCAGCGGACTTTGCTGTGGCTGCTGCACCAGACCTTGCGCCTGCCGTGTTTGAGTAGCAAAGCGATGAATAGGAGTTGTGATTGGCATAGCCCGAGATGAAGGCTGAGGTGAAGGCTGTGGTGGAATTTGGCGGACATTCTGAGAAGACGCGTGAGATAGTATTTGCGCCTGATGTCCAGCAGGTGCAGGTGCAGGTGCAGGTGAAGGTGAAGGTGCAGGCACCGGTGAATGAGCAGCCGCGCCTGTCATCTGCCCAGCTGGCACTTGAGAGGAGGTGTCAAGGCCCCTGGGATGAACGAGGTTTGGCCGTGTAGGTAGTGGATGCTGGGGTCTCTGACCATTCAAAAGCATCGTCGCGGCACGATTCATGGTACCAGGGGCGTGAACAGTAATTGGCTGGGTCTGCGATTGAGAGCTATGTATAGGTACTTGCGCGGACGGCATCTGAGGCCCGGGGACCGCGACATATGTGATCGGCCCTGTAAGCCCAGCGGGCTGCATTGAGCGCTGTGGAAATGGCTGAGCTGCATGCTCTCGCGCCACAGGTGAAGTATGTTGACCAACTAGCGATGTCTGGGAGCGGGAAAGGGCCCTGTACGCCTGGATCAAACGCTCGTTCTCGCGATGAATCTGCTCTGGAGTGTGCCTAGAACCGAACCGTTTCATGTAATTCCGCTTGTTCTTGCTGTAGAGACTCCACAACTGGTCTTCATGCTGCGTTCCGAAAATCCTTCGGGACAAGGCTAGGAACACTATTGATAATAGTACGGACGATGTTATGCCAAATTGCACGACTAATTCATCGATCAAAGGGGGATAGCCGCGCTCTCGGACATGGTGATCAAAAGCCGTCCACTTTTCAGAAAAAGAACCCAGGCAGCGAGCAATCTGATGGACAACTATTGGGAACTCGCGAGTCTGACACATCACACCCAACGGCCGAGGGAAATTAACGCTCCACCTCAAGAAGTCGCCCGATAGACGGTGGTTGTCTACTAGAAGCTGCTGGACAACCTCCAATCCCATCTCATTGTGCCGGCTTACATACGGTAGCCGAGCAAATTCCGAGGGAGCAAAGGTGTGCAAGGAGTATATTTGATGGAGAGTCAGGTAGAATAGATCCTTTTCGATGCACGCATCCCGTAGAAGACGGGTTCGTGGCAGTTCCACTGTCTCCGAGAGCAGCATGGCACCCTCCGCTCTTGCCACGAAAGCATCCAGGGCCTCTTGCGACTGTGTCCAAAATGTCTGATTGATGAAGGAAGTCGAAGGACCCGGTCCAACGGGGCTGGGAGGAACATGGTTCGAATCCGGCGGAGCGCTGGTCATTAATGGTCGACGCTGCTGCGCTTCAAGAGGAGCCGGGGCTATGCGCTGCTGGGGATTCGGAATCGCCTGCTGTCTCTGTAGGCCCCTAATTGTGGCCGGCACCGAAGTTGCCTCCGCCATCGTCTCCCCGCCCGCTGTGGTAGGCGATGCGTTGGCGGGCATGAGATTGCGATTGCAAATTTGCCTAGGATGTTCCAGTTGCCCATGTATCTGCATCGGCCTGGAGACTGGTGGAGGAGATGGGAGGACGCCATGTGACAAACTTCGCTCATTTCGGTCTCCAGCGCTAGCAGGGCTAGGATGGGAGGCACTGCTTGGATCGGGAGACAGAAGTGAGGAGGAATGGGACTGCTGTAGTGGTTGAGTTGCATGGACGAACGTCGTTGACTCACTTGTCAAAGGAGTAGCGCTGAAATTCGTGGTAGGTGTTGTGGTAAACAAACGAGCGCTTGACGGTACCACAGGACCGGCTGGTGGAATTTCGTGATTATGCAGGAGGATTTCCCCGGGCGTCACGGGTGACATTAAGACTGACGGCGGGGATGTAGCAGGAGCATTGATGATGTTACCATTGGCAGTGAAGGCGACATCATTCTTATCTCTATTGCTCTTCTGACTCTGGGGGAAGATTGTGATGGAGGATGAAGGGGAGATTTGCATGCCTTGCGGCCGACTTTGACGTCGGTTGGCAACGGCAGAGGCAGAGGCAGAAGACGGAGCGGAAGACTGGAATGATGAATCGGGAGGGAGAGTAACAGCAGGAGGAGGAGGGGCAGCAGCAGGAGCAGAGCTGATTGACAAGGAAGATGAGGCATCCAACATCCATGATCTCCGTACTCCGACGCCGCCCAGGAATAAGTTTGCCGTCGAATTGGACCATTCCAGCTGGTGATGCGGATTATTAGGTAAGTGCGGACGATTCTTGGTGGTCGAAGGACTCATGGTGAAGGGCAAACATTGTTTATTGTTTCCTCTAAGCGATGAATCCTTTTGCTCCTGTTCTATTTTTCGCTTTATTGGTATCAAAGGAAATAAAATGACAAGTAGGATTCGTCCTTGTGCTAGGTTAACAGCGCCGAGGTGTATTTATCAGTGATCCCCTCACCGTTTGTTGTTGTCCATGCAGGTCAAGGAAACGCCGTTTGTTCCAGGACCAGCTAGGATGGTGATATAAGTGTATGCACAGGGATCTAGAAAGCTAGTCAAGAGGGATATAGAAGTGTTTAAACTTAACTTAAGGGAGCTGGGGCGGGGTTTACTCTTATAATAGAATAAAGAAAAGGGTAATAAAGAAACAGAGAATGTAGTGAATCAGGAAAGGGTGGTTGGTAGCAACTACCTACTGGATATAGTAGTAAGTAACTACCAGAGCTATATAAGTAGGGTAACTGCTTCCTGTTCACTATTATCTCACCGGTGTCAAAGAAGTGACGGCTAGGTATTAAAAACGAAAGAAAGAAGTTCTAGAATAACGGTATGATCAACCCTATAATACTTACCTATATTCTATCTATCCACTTTCTATACTGCACTTCTGTGGCAGTATCACTATGGAAACAGCCCTTCCAATGCACTTTTCATTTCAAAAGTACCTGCAGATGGACATAAGGCGGATACAGGAATAAGAAATATCCATACTCTGTACCAAGTAGTCTGCTGCATTAAAAATGTCCTATTGTACAGGTATATAGGGGGTAGAGACTGTGTACCAACAGTCCAAAAATCAAGAATGATGGATACAGGATTCTATAGTTTATCTACTAGGTAGCCATCTAAGTATTATAGTTCGAAGGGACCAGTCCTACCAAGGGCACTGTACCTTCAGACCCTTAGATCAGAGAGTTCTATCCAAGGGTTAGACTATATTAATGAGCCCTCGCTTCCCATCATAGCCTGGGATTCATCGATAAATAGAATGTGGACCAGTCAAATTCCCTTATATACGAGTCTCGAGGCCTTGTATTCAGTCTAATCGGTGATGCTTATATGTATTGCTGGGTTGATATCCTAGATAGCATGTAATATTGTTTTGACACTGACTGTTGAAGGTAGCAGTCCGACATCCTCTCATTTGGATACGAAGTCTCAAGGCTGATTTTAAGGATGATGGGTTGTTTTCTGATCGTCCCTCCCACCGAATTAACTAATACTACTAGTGTGTGTACATACCTGGGAGCGCACACACAGATACACACACATCCAAGTATATGAATTGACTCCTTGCGCCGAAGACGAACTCAAAAGAGACACTATCGCTGTTACTCATTATTTTCGCTCGAGTAAACACTCCGGGAGATCACAGTAGATACAATAACACTGCCCAAGTTATATGTCCTGAGATCCACTTACATAGTAGAGTATGTACACCTGTTCCTCGTGAGGTATCTCTCTTCTCTGTTGGCTCCAGTCATCTGCTTCCATCTATCACATCTTCGTCATCATCATCGAGTCGCAATTCCACGATCATCAACCTGATCAAGCCTCAGCAGATATCACTATTTGTATATCTCTAGATTCCGTCCATCGATTTGACTCAAAAGCCGAACTTCTCCCCGACTGTTCTACCAAAACTACTCCTTCGGAACGACTGAGCACTGGAGCAGTGAGTCGAATCAATTAAGCTCTTTACGGCCGACGCTCTGACGACCGCACGCGCCAAGCATCGTTCCGAAGGCCATTATCTTTATTCTCATCAACTCCACTTGTCACCTTCGCCATCATCGAGACCCTGTCCACCGCGGATATTCACCATTTAGCATAATCAAATATCCGCTCATCCAGTTTCACTATACCAGACCGTCCAGACGCCGGAGTCTTGACGTGCAGTACGGAGTACTACGGGAAAGTTGGCAGGACCTGACGCTTGTGCAGCCGCCCATTTGGCGCCCGTTCCCACTCCTTAGCGTTCTGGCCATATTGAGTCCATACATGACCCTGGGATCGTCGCTGGTTTGCTTATCCGCTCGGTGAAGCGCCAGACAGAGCAAACTGAAGCTTAATTTGTTCTTTGTGTTGTTCCTTGTGTTCTGTTCTATTTTCGGTCGATCAAAGTGAACCGAGAGAGATATAGAACGACGGGTTGTCCCGCTCACTTTTCGCCAAACCTATCCTGATCTCGAGAAAGGTACTACTCGAAAACTAAAGTCTGTCAAACTTATCTCTAGTGCAGTGTTGGGCCAATCTCGACCCTCGCTCCAACTTGCACCCGCTTCTCGGCCCCGCCGTTTTCCTGTCCCTGTCTTGGATCTTCTCTTAAGTTCATTCTTCTCTTCTCCGATTTACCTAAATTCCAGACGGCCTGGCCTTGCCTAATTCAAGGCGGTGGTGCCTTCGCGTGGCTGTCGCATTCCTGAACGCAGGCGCATCGTCATCTGCCATTCCGTTCGCAAGCCCCCTCCCTGACTTCTAGACTGCTTGAGGACGCCCCGCCCTCCTTTCGCCAAACAAAATAATAATAGAAGAGGAAAGGAAAAGAAGCGCGCCATCCATCTCTCACTCTGGCTTCAGAGACTTAACCTTCCAGTTTACCCGGGAGGGCTGCTTGGCCCCATGTCCTGCGCAACCCTTCCGCTCCAACTTCTGTTGCCGCTCCTGTTCTGACGACGGACAACCCCACCTTGCTCCTTTGAATTGTTGATCGGTTGAGGGTTCTTCGATGGCCCTCTCAACACCGCCCCGCGGCGTTCGCCCGGGTGATTTTTTGCTCGTTGTCCGTAAGTAGATAATTTGCATTGCCCCGGTCGCACGGATTACTGCGATTCAACCCCGCTCGCTAGTCGATCAAGCTTCACACAACTCATCGCGATAACTGACCTGTCGCTGGTTTTTAGATGACTTCGACGCGCGTGGAACAGATGAGCTTACTTTGCGACGAGGGGAGAAAATTGAATTGATAGAACTTGACGAAGGCTTTGGCGATGGTTGGTACTTGGGAAAAGATGTGAGAACAGGGACAACAGGTCTTTTCCCTGGTGGTATGCTCTCCTTTTTTCCGAATAAGCTAGTCTACGGCGTATTGTGATCATAACTAATTGAGGTCTTTTGATTCAGTTTACACAACCGCCGCCCCGAAGATCCCTATTCGACCGCAGAGAGAGGACACGATTGATTTGGACGACCCCAAACCGGCAGCGGACGACCAGCTCTCGTCTGAATCGGTTGCCTCGCCCAAGAGCGGAGAATCTACGCCACAGGCGTCTCGACACGGTAGCATTTCGGAGATACAACCGCCAGAAGTAGCCAAGGACCTACCATCCATGACGCCTCCACCCAACCAGCAGCACCGGTCAAGCTCATCTCCTTTGCCCACTTCGCGACTCGCCGTCGATATTCAGCAGTCGATTAGACAAACCCTAGACGGTCAATTGAAGGGCCAGGACAGCCCGGTTATGAATGAGACCTTGAGTGTTATCGATGAGCACATAACCGACCTGAGCACCCCGCGTCATAGTGTTGCTAATCACGAAAACAAAGTAAATAACGATTCCTCGAGCGAATATAGCAGCCATCTTGAACATCGGGTCTCCTACATCAGGGGCCATGAAACCGATGAAGAAGAGGAAAACCAGCCGACCGAGGAGCAAGTGCGGAGCTGGGATGCGGCTGAGACAGCGAGGCATCTGCGTGAACTGGGAGTCGAGGCGAAACACTGCGATATATTCGAGGAGCAAGAGATAACAGGTGATGTGATACTGGACATGGATCAGGATTTTCTCTTTATGAAGGAGTTTGACTTCGGCGTCATGGGTCGTCGGTTGAAGACGTGGCACAAAGTCAAGGCTTTCCAAGAGGAGGTCAAGGGTCTCAAACAACAACAGCAACGGGGCTCTGCCTCCAGCTATCCTGCGCCGTCGGAAGAAAGATCTCTCAGCCGTGCCAGCCATACTGGCCCTTTTCTTCCCCGTATCCCTCACCTTACAAGAGGCTCGGCCGGCTCCATGCAGCACCCACGACTTGTGAGTAGCGGGATACCGAGTACCACAAGTTCTCCTATGACTCCGCAGACTCCCAACTTCATGGATCATCAGAGAAGACCTTCAGCAGCGTCCATCCGGGAAATCAATCACCACCGCCGCCATTCTTCCATAGACACAGGTCACCGCGTGGATACATCGCCTCACGCGGGTCATTTCAAGCAGCCTTCATTTGACAGAAATTGGACTATGGCCAGCGGATCACAGCGGGTGCCCTCTCGCTCAGGTACTTACCCCACTTACCACGAAGGAGTGCTTCCCCAACACGGTTTCCGGCGCCCGGATACGAACGAGTCTGACTCTGCGGTCTCCGTGACCGATCGGTATGATGAGCTAGAACGGGGATACTTCTCTGGCCCCGAAGGGGATACCACGAAGAACAGGAGATTGTTGCAGAAACGGACCTCCGTGACTGGAAGTGCAACCCATTCCCGACAACCTAGTTACGCCGATGATAAATTGAAGGTCAACAAACGACATTCCCGCATCGCCAGCGTTGACTCCATCCGAGATACGGCCAAGCAAGCTCCTCCTGCTGCTGCTGTGGAGGACGTTCAGACCACTGCAGCGCCAAAAAGCCGATTTAGGAGCCTCAGCACTCGAGTGATCGACAGACGTGGTCCAACTTCGCAGTCTTCCAACACCACAGCGTCCACAGAGAAACCTGGCTCTAGCTCTGGCTTCTTTGCATCGTTTGCACCACTTGCCCCCTTTGTGGGAAAGTCGGATGCTGAAGGGTCAGGACGTGCATCTTCCTTATCCTTCTCTCAGAGCAAGAGTGGTGGGCCTAAAATACGGCGCACCGCTGGGCTCCGTATCATATCCGATGTTGTTGGGAAGGGCATCGACACATCTGTCGCACCGGCCTCGCCCGTTAGAGATACAGATCCAGCTTCGGTCAGAACCGGTTCTACTACACCGTCGACGTCGAAGAGTTCTGAGAGGCATAGCACTGAAAGTTCAATCAAG